CGGGGGGATATGGTTGGCGTACACGTCTTTAGTACCCGGCTTTGGGCCTCTATTGATGCCTGCTGCATACGCATGCGTTTTTCATTCCTTCACGAAAACGGCACGAGACCTAGTAACTCAAAGCAGGTAAGCCTTCTTTTCGAGTTTAAAATAATCAAAGTTTTAAATTACATTTAAACAGAATTTGCCGTTTTTTCTGGGCTATGGTAGTAACTACGTACTCTGACTGCAGGTTCTATTACTGTTTCTTTTTGTTTTCCATATGTAATCAAAGGGCCCTATTAGAAGTAAGTTCGGTTATGATGTTTATCAAGACCCCGAGAACAAAATTAGCCCCTGTTCACTTAGAAGAGGATTCAGACTTCGAGATTGCGTTCGATTTACACAGAAAGGCCCTTAACGCATAAGACGCGGCACTTCTTTTGCTTAGTAACTTATGATAATGCTACATCCAAAGAAAATGGGGTATGCGACCATACGTTTCTTTCAATGACATGCTTTTTATGTCAGCCTCAGTGCTGAAAGCATCCGGCTTGTATCTCACCAGAGCAACTTATACAATGAAGATAAACAGGCTCAGCGAACACCTTAGCTAATTCTCGCAAACCTCCATGACAGTCACATCAACTCATCTGCATACGAAGGGTATAAGGCAAAGGTGATATAATTAAGGAATTGCGTTCACTTACTCCTATTGGCATAGATACCGTCAGTTGTTAGCCGAAGTAAGAAAGCAATATAATTTTGATTGAGCGTTGTTCGATCTCACGATACAAATTATCTGCACCTTTTGGTTACAATCGTCTTGAACACTTGACCACGGTACTATTTACACTTACTCGTACTGCAAATATTAACCACAGACTGTAAGAATGTGACAACAAAGTAGCTAGCGGATTTCTAAGACAAACAGAAATATTCGATGGACATTGCAGGCGAAGACAAGGGTGGCTAAAATAGCAGTCTCTGCCTCATTTGCTGTCGTCAGACGGTCATATCCGACTCCAGGGGCTGCACCCTCCCTATTTCGAATTCGCAAACTGTTGATCATTAATGCACCCCTCTAAGCATTAAGCCACGTTGCCTTGCCGGTTTAGATAACGAATATTATGAGGGGATCTGACAGACTTATCGCGTTGTGTTAAGGCTATTAAGGTTTAACCCTAACGGCTGCGATCTTTCAGGCTCGGTTGTTGGTGGGAAAGCCAGATTGTTAGGAATTCTGTATTCTACAGAAGAATAGGAGAATAGATGGAAAGAGTTTTGACTCTCGGATGACCACTGTCTGGCTGCCAGGGCGTCGATTCCGGAGTGACAAGAGCCTCGGGAATCACCGCAGTGTCGGCGCATGCTTTGTTACGGTGGCTGATGTCTGGACTAGCGTGGGCGCGCGACCTTGAAATGGTCGCAGGCTGACTAGCCTGAGCGCGCGTCCGTTTGCAAATAGGCCCGAGGCACGCGGGAACACTGCTTTCGCGCTAGTTCCTATGCTCTAAGTAACTTCGTCTGGGGCGTTAAGAATTAGGTGGGCGTCGGAAAGACGCGACCACTACGGACTTGCTTCATTTAGTTCGCCCAATTGTGAAAAAAACTCGCGGACTCAGTGGGAGTCGAACCCACACAAAAGCCTTTTGTTTGTTCTACTCCCACCGAGGCCGCCAGTTTTTCACATTAAATGAGGGAATACCGATGCTGATGAATGTAGCGCCTGCGCAGTGGAACTTGGCCAATCAGAAAAGCGATAGCTACGGACCTACCAGGAACGAGCAGAAAGTGCCTATTTAACTATTGTATTATCTGGCTTGTATATCTCTAACGATGTGCTCGAGGGTAGCGTGGAATATCAGAAGTTTAAACCTTCTACCCCAGAGGAGCACGTGCCTGGACTCTTAGCTAGTGACCATTGCAGTATTTAACATATATATTCTATACAATTTGCAATACTTGTTTTTAGATGGAAATTGCGTGTTTATTCAACAGTCTTTGATTATCTCTTGCTCAAATATTCATTAAAGATTTGGGTTCGACCCTAAAAAGTGATGCCCGGGTTACTTATCTCCATGTAGTGCACTCACCACTTTTCGACATGATACCTTGACTGTTTTCTGGTGTTCATATACCAGAAAACGCGTGCTTGAAGTCATAACCGATGATAAGCAAAGTATGGAAATTCGTCTTCAGTCTTGAGCATTCTTACGTAACTGTGGCCATTATTGCATAAATGGACGTCTTGTCGTAGGCCTTTGCGATATTTGTATCTATTTACAACTTTTTCGTACTTTCAGTTGTACACACCTTTCTACGCTTATTCTTCCCGTTACACATGCTCTGCTTAAGTTGGTGTACAAATTAATTTCCGCTACACTTTAACTGGTTTCGATTTCGAATCCATAGCGGACATCTTGCTTCTATTGTTGTTCTTCACTAGACGAAGTCGATTTCGTCATACTCAGAGTATTGGACTCGGTTTAGCTTGACTTGTCCTTAGCGTGAGATTGCATCGTCGATTGCCTTTCTCATTACCTGTAGGTTGTCCAATTACTCAGCTATGGTCCACCGGCGGGTACAGGTCTACCTCATTCTGCATATGTGTTTCTTTTGATATGCCAGGCCGCCTATTGAAAGAATACGGGAAGCCGTAGACTTTTTTGCGCCAATCGCAAGTAGACTTGGCGAGGATATTCCTACGAGCGCATCCTTGGGGAATATCGAACGTATTAACGAATTATTTCAACGTCTCAGGTTTGTCCAATAGTTTATCCTTTTATGTAATTGTGTACTGTTTACCCTTCCAATGGGTTTTCTTTTTTAATGCCTGTATTATGGCACCTGAGCGATATGTATGTGTGTATGCTATTTATGTATGTATGTTTTTATAAATATGCTGAAATATTCGGGGTCCAGATACGTTATCGCGTTCATCATCTCCCAAAGGTAAGGAAGAAGAAGAAGGCCGACCACATTTTGTCTCCCGGAGGTTTGCTGCTGGTGGGCTTGCATGACCTCCGTCCCCTATACGGTCAGCGTAGTTGTAGGCGAGTCAACATGCTTGCTGACCACCGCCACATCATCCGGTGGACTGATCACTTGTTGAGGTTCACTTAAGCTGTCCTATGCCTCGCGGTTGTCTCGATGAGACAGTGTTTGATGTTGGCCGCGTGACCTCCGACCTCCACCTCTATTTTCCGTGGGCGTTGGCTCTCGGTCCTGCGTACTCATTTGCCCTACTGGCCCTGGCCGACTTGATCAAAACCTTGTGCGAAGCGCCTGGTAGGCAAGGTTTGAGTCGATAGCTCTGTTGATTGTGCCAGTGAAGGACCAACTTTCGAGCACTAGTCTGGCCAGTTTCTTATTGGCCCTGCCGATCACCCTCGCTCTCTTAAAGGCGAATTCGCGGTTGAGCTGTTGCACATGACCATAGACCAAAGACAGCATGTCCTTGCGATTGGTTGCAAGTTGATATTCGGGCAATCTTGTGCCCAAGCGTTTGCCCGCTTCACCAGCATATCTCGCCTCGTAGTTTTGGCATGGTATGCTGTAGAACATGGTTGATTGCTCGGTTGCTGGCAGCAGGTTCTTGGGCTTCATAAT